AACATAATGAATTTGGTTTTGGCAAGACTATAAGGTGTTACTCATTAGTGAATGTCTGCTCCAGAGAAAGTAATTCAATGTAAGTATGGGTGGTGTTGAGAGGAGTAAGCTACCTTGGAGGACATTTGCTGAAAAGGATCCATATTGCAGTGGTACCCCGAGCAATGAGAGCCAGGCAGGATCGAGGTAGAGGCAAAAGAAATTACTTTCCTTGTCTGAGGGTGGTGAAACACAGTGATGCTTCTGCTTTCTTGGCTTATGCCAGAGCTTGGCTGCTGCCTGGGATGTCACCCCCATCCTCCAATCTTCCCTGCAGCATCAGCAGCATCTTGACTCATTGGGGCTTCCTTTTCAGCTCTCTGGCCTCACCCTTCCTTCTCCTCTGCCTCTCCCCAGGCTGCCAAAGCAAACACTTGGCCTGGGCTCTTGCTCACTTTCTTCAGGACGCAAAACTCAGATGGCCCTTATCTGCCAAGAAGTACTAAGCCAGGCTGGAGACAGTTGCAGTGTCAGTCCAGCTCTACTAGCAGCATGAGAGCAAAAATCCTGTTAGTGTGAATTGTATCTTTAAGGATGCAATTTTAGAACATAAAGCCTAACACGGCAAGGAGAGGAGCTCCGTGAAGTTTCTGTAACAGCCCTGAATGTTAATATAAATTGTGTATCTAGAGGAGATTTGTTTTATTAATATGCATCTCCCTGTCTCCTACCTTTTCCCTGGGACAGAGGTATTTTGATTGCTATGCAGTTTCTCCTAAGGAAAATGAAATACATCACAGGGCAAGTTCTGTGACAAATGCTTTCTGGTCTATTTAGGCACCTCTGCCCTCAATTCATTCTTGTGCTTGTTCATGCTGGATTGGAGAAACTGTACCTTTTCACTCTATTTTTGAAGAAGTCTGCTTTAGGTCACTTGGTATTTTTGATGTCTAAGTCTCATAGACCAGAATTAATCTATATAATCAGCTTTTAGCTAGTCAGTTTGAAACATATTTAAAAGATATTTTTAAAATTGTCTTGTCTTGTCTTTGAATGTCTTCAAATTAACTTTGGCAAACCATTTATTGCCATTTCCCAGCATAGCATTGGCTGTGTCAGAGAAGTCCTGAAATTAACAGGTCTGGAAACTGTGAAGGACATGAAGTCCTTCATGAGCAGACTAGCTTCTTGTAGTTATTATTATAATATCTTCCTATTATATACTTGTTAGCACTTAAAATTTTATGTCCTGTCAGGAAGGCTGTGTTGCCATTTTAACCTTCTGGAAACCAGACTGAGATTGAATTGAAAATGTCACACTCTTTTCCTTCACAGCATCTCACTTTTTTTTGCTATACACAGGCAATTATTCTAGAAGAAAACTTATATTTTTAAACACAGAACTTTGACTTGGCCAGCTAATTTTGAAGCTGATCAGCTATTATAATGACAGTGAAAGATAACTTTTCCTTTGCTTTCCAGAATAAAAAGTGACTGAATTTCCCCTCTGTTTCCCTTTTTACTTTCTTTTATCTAGTTTGAAGAAAACATTCTGGATGCTTGCCTGTTCCTGATGGACAAGGCAGAACTGGAACTCTCTGGACGTGGAAACCCAATCAAAATCTGCCGTGTTGCCTCTGCAGTGGTATGTGATAGATGCGTAAGATGTCTCAGAAGCGACTTGTAAATCAAAGCCAGGCTGGTTTAACTGGCCCTCATGCCCTGATGTGCTCACTCCAACAGGTGCCAGATCAATTGTCCCTTTTGACCTCTGGGATCTGACATTTTATTTTGCTCCACTAGAGGTGAAATATTTGATGTCTCATCACCTTTTCCTAAGAGTGGTATTTCATTGGTAGGAAAGCCCCTTTTAGACATTGCACTCCAGGCTTGATAACATTTCTTGTGATGCTGCAGTCACTATCTGGTAGCTGAGGTAGTTGAGAAAGCTATTTCTGCCATGGATGATGAGGTGGCATTATGGGAGGAATGTAAGATATGGAATTGAGAGACTTTATATGGACTCCAGCATTATCCTCGACAGCGTCTTAAGACACTGCTGGTGTATGGTGGATATCACTGTGTCTGATTTTTAAGACTCAGATGGCCTAGTCAAGCTGATGACATTTACGTAAGATATGTTGACCCCAGAAGAAAGCACTGTGAGAGATGTAGGGGGCACACGAAACTTACTGTATTCAGAACACAGGTTCCTAAAATAATCAGAAGCAAAAGGTAAGGAGACTTCCCACTTCTACATTCTTTCCAGCTGCTAGGCATCAGGAATCATGCTGTGGCTACAACAGCAACCCCATCCCTGGTATACAAGCTGAAAGATTCATCCAGAAAATGGCAGGCAGAGGCTGAGTTCTCGCCTCTGCCTTACAGAGGTCTGAACTGATGCCTTCTGCTTCCCAGAAGGATACCCTAGTCATCGAGCTAGCATCATTAGATGTTCTCCTAAGTCAGCTACTAAAATATACTGTCCACAAAGCATAGCTGCTGAAGATGGATGATGTTTTAACCCACTTGTTACAGCATTTGCTTAGGCTTCAAGAGAGTGAGCTCTTTGTCTTAAATGACATTGCAATGGGATCTCCAGCCTCTCAGTGTCACATGCTGATTCTTGCTCATAGCATCATATTAAATAGAATAGCTCCAGCAAAAAGTATTGCGAACACCCCCACTTCTCTTTCTGTTTAACATTTTGGTTAGTTCTTTCATCCTAGACATAGAAATACATCTTCAGACCTGCAGATAGAAGTAAGACTTTAATGTGTTTCCCTCATCACTGGGCTAGTAGATGTAAAGGGTCCCTCTTGCAGAGATCGTGAAAGCCCTAAGGGCAGAATAACACAGAGTTTTTGAACCTAAAGAGTGCTTAGATATTGCTTAGGTTTCGAGCCACTCAATCATTTTAGGAAGATGGCAAAGTTCAACATTGAAAATCCAGCATTCGATGAACTAACCTGCAAGATTAGGCCGTAACTGGGTGGGGGGTTTGGCTGTCTGAAATCTGGACCTCAGTAAGAAGTGGCCGAGAGGTGTTTAAGTCCTACCCGTGTTTCTTACCCTCATTCTTCCTCAAGTTGAAATGTGGTAGAGCTGAGCTCATCTGAGGACATGCCCCCACGTTGGGATCCTTCTGAAGCTTCCTGACGTTGCAAAGCAGGTAGTCACTCCCTTCTTCCTCTCTTTACAGCCAGAGGAGAGCCTGAGGATCAACGCACTGCTGTCTTTGAAGTGCCTCTTTTCTTGGCATGTTTCCCATAACAGCGAGATGGGCACAACCCCTTAACCCCTCGGTTATGGCTCTGAATACATATCTTTATTCAGTCCTAGGGTTCACAGGAAGTCGATTTTCTAATTATAAAACAGTAGTTAATTCAGCCAACAGCTTTTAAATGAGAATTGTGATTTATTTGGCTGGCGTGTAGCTGTTCCACATTAGCATAATTAAAAGGTACAGAGCGAATGAGCTTTTTGCACAGCCTCAACTGGTTGGTTCAAATTGCAGCTAGGAGATGTATTGCTCGTTAATGCCTATCAGTACGGCCATTAGTCAGCAAAACTCCTTGCTTTGTATAATCTTACTGGGGGAAAACTTACACAGCAAATTCTGTCTTTTTTTTTCATGTATGCTGGACTGAAGAAATTATTTTCTACTCTAAAAATAACAGTGGACTGGTTCTCCTCTCAATTCACTGTAAATCAGGAGTGATTTTTTTAAAAATTCAGGACTGATACAGACAGAAAACTAGGCAATGTTAGGAACAAATGCAGCTTAATATTTCTGGGACTTGCTTATCAGTGTATAACTGATCATGTTTATTAAAAATACGTTGCAATAAGCATGTTTAATGTTAATAAAACTTACTAAACTGGGAACATGGATACTCAGTGTGGTGATTTAATTTCACCATTATTTTTAAATATCTGACCTTCATTCAAAACTGTTCAGTGATGGAGAATCCATGGCCCTGAGCAAGATTGTTCGATTCATCTCTTGCCTTCATAATTAAACATTTCTGTCTTATTTCTACCCTCAACTTGACTATATCCAATCTCTCCTGTCCTATCTTTGTCTGATGGGCTAAAGAGCTCTTTATTATTCAGTCTCTGACATCCCTAAAGTTCATTTCCTTTGTCTTTAGATCAACTCCAGAGATGATAATGGTGTGATCGCTGGTTCCTGGGACAACACATACACTTACGGAGTCGCACCTTCAGCATGGACGGGAAGTGTGGACATTCTCTTGGAGTATTACAGCTCTAAGCAACCTGTGCGATATGGCCAGTGCTGGGTCTTTGCTGGTGTCTTCAACACATGTAGGTATCAGTGAGAAAAGCTCCATGCTGCTATATGATTCTTGTGTAACAGAGAGAACTTTTAGGTTAAAACAGCTAAAATACTTCCTGTCTCTGTGGTTTTCAGGAGTAAACAGTAGAGATACTTTAAAATACATGGCCAAAATAGACTCTCTTTAAATAAACTTTTGGCATCTCCTTCAGTTCAGCTGCTCTTCCACACAAATCTGTTAACTATTTGTTCGGTAAAATATATTCAGTGACTCACAGAGGATAAGTTTGGGAGAGAGAAAGTCTTTTGGCACGCTCCACATTTCTGTTAGGAAATCTGAGATGAACAGGGGGCTTGTTATCTAGACCTGCAACATGAAATTATTACCCAGTATGGGATATGTGATGGTGTCTCTGCTCCAGAAAGGAGCATTGTTCCTAGCAAGACTGATGTACACTGTCCCAGCACCTGTCTACTGAGCACTGTTAATATTTTCTGTGGAGTTTCTGAGCCAAAACAATGAGGAAAATGCTGGCCTGGTTTATGAGTTGTCTAGCACTACAAGGTTAAGTCTAACCACACTTGCTCAGTACTGCAGCAAACATGGTCTTGCACGTTGTAAAACCCAGTAGGGAAA